CAGTTAGAGTCAAGGCAAACAATTGATCAGTTCCAGTTCGCGGGAGATATAGGTTCCTCGGGTCGGAGTCTTCGCCTCCAATTCGATTCTGTTCAATTCTGCTGAAAGGCGTTCGATTCTGACAAGTGTGCGACCGACTTGAGTACCCGGTTGGGTGGAAAGACGTTCCCCAGGCTCTGCCGAGATGCCCCTGCTCCCGACGAACGTTTATGAACAATATGCGGATCGTTAATAATCTGCGGGCAATCAGGGACGGTCGTTAATTTCAAACCGCCCGCGATGCTCTAACGAGCTCGTCAAGATCGCTTTGTTAAAGTGTAACTTATATTCGTTAACAGTTTGGTAATTAGTTTCATATAGTGGTGGGAAACAATGGTCGTTGCGAGTTCGGAGAATTCCTGTCGCCTCGGTATTGTTTGCCAGCGGTTGGTTATCGCGCGCACAGCCAGCGCGAGATTGTGTCGGCTCTGGGGAATATTTTGCCCGCGTTTTCTTTGAACGTTGGGTTAGGTAATTGCGAAAATTAGCGTCGTTCAGGTGCTATGCAAAGAGAGGCGGCGAACCTCTGTGGGTAGGTCGGTACTCTCGGATAGTTCAGCCCTACAACTTTCCTGTTATTTTGTATACCTACACGGTACTTTGCAATTATGTTTATCTATTTAAGCCTCCGTGGATATTATATTCCAGCGAAATTTTAGTTCTCTGGTTCACACCGTGGTCCATTGGTACTTCTTCGAAAGCAAATGAACTTGTTAATAATGTAAACAGCTGCAGGACTCGTCATATTCATTTCCGGATCCCTTGGAGTCTAGGGATTTTTTATCATCGGATGAAATCTTCTAAAAACATTTCCGACCTCTTAGGGAAGGTCGGGATTGTGTAAACTCCCTCTCCCCCCCCCCCCGCCGCTCACTCGGCTGTATGGCCTGGAAATGTCAACGACACAACTCTCAGTGCCCCCCACCTCACAAACCACATGCTTAGCTTTTTATTGGTTGCGCTGTCTGTCAAGGCTCCCGTTACTCTGCGTTGATGTCAAGAGCGAGATCATGGTGACATTCCTCATCATGATGAGCATTGGAATGTGGACCAAGTGGATGGGAAGTAACTGTTAGTCGAGTATCCACTATATGGTATGCCACGAGTATCCTCCGCGTTCAAGCAGAGGTTTGACGTTAGGTTTATGGTAGGTCAAGGTAGGATCTATTTTGGGTCCTGGCCAGAGCTCTGTATTGTGAGGTCTACGGTTAAATCTGTGTTGGGTGTGTTAGTTACGTGTTCAGGTTGCGGCAGATCCGCGTTAGGTCTGGGTCAAACGTGGATTGAGACATAAGTGTTGGCGCAGTAGTAGGCGCGTAAATTTTGCCCGTGCTTCCTTGTGCTCAGATTCGGTCGAGACGGTAATGCTTGTGGTCGTCGAGGAATGCACGGAAACCCTTGGAGCACCGTTTAACAACGATTTCTCGGAATTACCATCACGTTGCCCTCTGTTCCCTTGGGGAGATCAGTCGCCTGACAGTTTCGCTTCAGTAATTCCCTCGAATCGTTTCATGCACAGAAGAGTGTCGTTAAAAGGAGTTTGGAGCCTTAAGGTGGAGGGCTGTACAAACGTTTTAGGAACTTTCTTGGGTCGCACTTTACAAAAGGCTTTGCACTCCCGTAAGAAGATAATGAAAGTAGACCTTCGGAAATTGTGAACGTGATAGGTTTTCTATGTATTGAAGCCGTATATAAACGTTTTATACACATAGGATTGGGCCGTATTCGTAATATAACTAGTATTTGTTAAGTGTCGCGGAATCAGTCACGCTGTGACACTTAGTGATCGAAGAAGACATTTGTTCCTTAAAGGCATAAATGCTTTTTGTCTGACGTATCAACAAATTATTCAATTAATAAACTCATTTTTATATTTGTCCGAAAATGTCCGAATGCAGCATATTATTTAAAATATATCTCAAAAATTGGATAATTTTTCCGTGGTATAACTATTTGTTGATTAAATTTATTTAAAATACCCGGAATGTTCATCAGTCTTTCTCAAAGAAAATTTAATTTAATTAAGGCAGCGCATGACGTCAAAAATATTTTACCTGCAAAAGGTTAATTAACATTCAACGTTTTTCCAAGGGAGAAATATTCTCTCTCTGTGATTCAATTCCATTTGTACCTTTCCTAATTCTTTTTCATCGCGGTATAGCGTCGAATTTTTGTTTGTCGTTGACAAGATTGGCTACACATATTATTTAATGTTGCTACGAAAATATTGGACACTTCAAAGCCCGTTGAAAGTTCGCGAAAGCTGAGGGATGATACCCGAGTGTTGATTGCGTGGCGCGGGCGGGAAAGTGGAAAGTTTTTTGGCACTCGGGTCAAATGATACAGGAAGCCCAGCACAATGTAAACTCATATTTCGTAATGCACGGTGCAACGTACATAAATCTGCGGCATCCGTAGATAAATTATACGATGGCACATCGAAATGGTGGATGTCTTGCTTTGCAGAGTTCCTTTGGCTTCGTACCAAAACCGTGGTGCACTCTCAAGTAGCCGGCAAATACCGTCTTGCTGACTGACATCGGAACGTCGGCAAATGTTTCTTTCCACGAGTGATAGCAATTAATCGAATTAATTGTAGCTCCAAATTAACCAAACGTTCGGAGCAGAGTTGTCGATAAATTCAACAAGCGTCCAAATATTGGCGGGACCCAGCGATGGGCCAAATTTTACTCGAATGATAGACGACGAATGAAATCAACATACGTGACGTTATTCGATTAAACGGTTAAATTTCTGTCTGCGGTCTTATTAAATAATGCATTACGTTATTTAAATTCGTACCTGCAAAGAGCATGTGGCAAACGTTTATTGCATATTCAAGTAACAAATGGCTCAGAAAACTAATGTAGCGATTTAGTCGTGAGCTTTATTTAACGTTTGTCCTGGAAAAATTTAATTAGATGTTTGCTTTCCAACGCGAATTTTATCGTTTACATCGATACCTGGTAACAAATAAACGAACAGTCGTTTGCGAAATTCGAACTTTGCAATTTACGAACGCGTCGCCGCGAATGTATTTACTCTGGACAACGGTTATTGTTTTATGCTCGAATGTATTATTTAATGACGTAATCCGCAGGAAGTAATTACTCCCGCTGAGGTGAATCTCCCGGTGAAACATTAATTCAGTTGCGATTTTTGATTAAAACGTTCATTCACGGGTTTCCTCGGCTACCGTCAACAAACAGGGCATGAAACAAGCGATCATTATTAATATTAATTTTATGCAATATTTTGCATTAAACGCAGTATTCTCCTGTGCCTTTATCGTTCTCTTTCGCGGATTTTATGTTTTATATTAAATAATAGACCGGGGCATTTAATTTTTCATCTAACCAGTTAAGTACCAGAGCGCTCGAAAGAACTTTTTTTTGAATATTATTAATATTTATACAACTATCATATAATTTCTCTAATACGAAGACTAGCAGAAAACCACTACGTAAAAGATTTTATATTTAAGAATAATTTATTTGATCTTTTCACTTTACTATTTGCATTATACAAATTTGTTTGCATGTTAAAAATATTTAAAGTATTTTCGAGTGCGGTACAGCGACAGATCGGACGTTTTCGCGTTAAAGTAGTTGATACATGTTTATGAATTCGAGGTAGGAGAGAAAACGAAGACAAATAGTACTTGTCACGCTCGTGAAGTATCATTAGGGTCTCTCAGTTGGTCGCATGCATCGTGTGATCCGCGAACACGTAAAACAATTTCCTACACCCTGATGCACGCGCGCGCGCGCACCTTCGGCTCTTGAACATCGACGGATGTTGCACGCGATGGAAGCTATTCGTTTGAAAGATGCTTGATTGTGCTCTCTTTTCATTACAGGCGTAAGCATTCAAAGCCCAATTCCAGTTTCTTCGCGTGCCCACTTCAGTTTTAACGAGGTTCGTTATTATCAGAATCAAAATTGAAACAACCAATTAAATACAATTATTTCTCTAGGACTTCATAACAGATGTCAAAGACCTTAGTAAAGGAAAATGGGCCAATGTACTACGTATACGTCTTGATCGATATTACTTCTGTGTTATCTATTGGGTGATTCATTCATCAATACATCGAATAATGAATCAACGAATATGTCTATAACTCTTAATAATCACTCTTAGTAGAGACATAGCTGAGAATCTTTACTGAATCGAGTGGAACCACGTGTTCTCAGAGGTGTGTCGATTTCGTCCATTGGAAGCCTTTACAGAAAAAGTGAAACACAAAATTTGGAAGGAAAGCGACGAGATTTTAGCCTTATTTTGGTCGGGCAATGCACAGAGAACTCCGAGTTCGGAAACAAAGGTAAAACAAGTTATCCAGCAAATGGACGCACGATCCGTTGATTGAAAATTTCCAGCGGCCACTCTTTCGGTAGTCAGAGCTAGAGCTCGCGGATATAAGCGGATTAAACTCCATCTAAGCAAAATACGTTCGGAAAACAGAAGAGAGCCACTCCACCATTGGCATAGGAGGCCAGACCATCCGCAACATCGAACATGTCACTGAATAGTCTGAACGTTTTCCAGCAAAATCAAAGTTTTCTGATCTTCCGATATCCGATACACCGTTTCCCCAGGCCAAATCGTTGGAATAAACTGGTCCTGAACTCGTTACTATGTCGCTCGATCCAAATCAGTCTCAGAGGGACCTACTAAACTTTGCTAACCAATGGCTCCTAACACGGGGAAACTAATTTGAACGTGTTTTCATGTGATCGGGTCTTAGTTTGATTGGAACAAGCAGAGACGCTAATCGTTGATCCTCTTAACTTCAGAATAGCTCAGACACCCGAGGTGAACGATCCGGGATCACAGAGGTACATGCATCCGAAACTTTGGAAGTCATCCAAACGTCTCCTCAGGTCCCTTATTGTGCTCACGGTTCAGAGCGTCTCAGAAGTGGAATTCATAGTGAAAACAACCGAGTAAAGACTCACCCATAGGTGCAGGCAGGTGGCAGCTTGGCAGACTTGTGGCGCAGATTCACGAACGTCTCGTTGCACACTTAATCCTACTTTGACACTGGCTAGTCACTAGCACGGGCGAGCACCAAGATTAGCAGTTGTCTTCGGCCGCGTAACGCGACGGGCCATCGTCTCTAGTGACCGTGCTCAAACTCGATCGGCATGATCCCTGACCCGTTCGGGTTGCCCGATCGATTTTTAGATCGTACGTCAGTTTCAACGCTGCACGTAGCAACAACACTCGATGGAAACACGCCCGATCATCGTCTACTTCGGCTTAACTGCGCGGGGATTAAACGTTCGCGCGATTTTCATCGCACACACGATCGACGAGCCCGACCAGCTTCTCGGCTGGTCGTCACGTTGTTTGGAAGCTCTTTAGGTACAGTTGATGGAACAAATATACTGGGGTACTCCAGGGACGCTCGAGAGACAGCCGCTAAATGTGTTTTTCTTTGTTGGAAAGCTGTCTGTCGGGGACGCACTTAATGGATCCTCAGACTGACGAGTGAATCCGTGTCTTTAACATGCGCAAGGTATCCTCAAGTAGCCTCTGCTTTCAAGAGACAATTTTTATCCCGGATTAGAGTAATGGGATCACCCAGGATTGTTTGTTTATTCAGTGCAAATTATTAGTAACTCAGCACCTTCATTTGAGATGCGATTGGTAGCTTCCCCGCTTTCAAGAGGACTCGAATACGGAACTTGCTGTAATATTCACTTGTGAGTAATGGTGAGAAAAAGCAGCGCCAGTAGGGAGTAGGATAGGGAATGACTCGATAGTGTCTACGTTTTCCTTACTCATGATGTCATAATTCAGGACTCTAGCTCAACAGACAATATCCAGCTACAAACTACGAATCCCACGGTGTAGTATTGACAAAAACGCTACTTATTCCGTGAAGATATCGGTAAAACACTCTCAATTTGTTGTGTCCACATCACTACAGCACACCGTCCTACGGCGCACCCCCTATTGGGGTGACCCTTAAAGTGTTAGCACCCGAAAGAGGATCAATCCAGGCCCCCGAACTCTTAACGCCACGCGCTCAAGAGCATTATTCTCTTCGTTCCCCACAGCTTTTACGACCCCGCTATATTTGTTCCAACAAGTATACATTATTTTACACGTGCCCGGAAGCCATCGAACGCGTCGACTCCCGCTGCATCGATTCTATTCGGTTCCCCTTCTGACCAGTGACTGTTTGACCCGGCGATTTCTCGATTCCCTCGTTCTTTCCAACCGAGAGATCCGACGAATTCCACGGATGATTGCTGCGCGAGCCTCGTGGCTTCTCCCCGCTCTCCCTGCCCGATAAAGAATTCAGTGATTCCAGGATCAGGAAGGAGCGGGCATGGGAACTTGTTAAAAGTCACGTGAAGAATTCATTGGACTCGGTTTGAAAAATTGCTGAGACGGGATTGGACGAATCCTAATCAGGCTGGCGGGGATCGCAAGCTCTAGCTATCTTATAAAGAATTTTCTTTGTGTCGATAAATTAAGCGAAATGCTCGTCAGATTATCTAGGATTAGAGCCGCACACCGATTCGCCATACGTCGTTGAGTAAAAAAATAAAATCAATAACGTATAACGTAGACGGTGAAAGCCCTCTGCTCGGCTCGCAAAAGTATTTGTCACAGAATTGATGGAAGTCTCAATCTCACGCGAGAAAACAGCCAGAGCTCACGCATTCACCGACCAATCAATCGTGGAACTGGATTTCAAAACCGAGAACATTCCCTGGAATTCCACACGGCGTGTAACGATCAGGTTTCGCGCCATTTTTCAACCAGCGAACTCGACGAAGCTGGCGCGCGAGGAGAAAAACGAAGGAAGATAAATCGGCGACTCCAACGTGCCCGCAGAAAAGGGGGAACGAGGAAGGCCGGGGATATACAGTTCGATCGGTTTAATCGTTAATTCGCGTTGTATCCGCTGCTTCTCTGAATTTTCGGTCCTGGCGAACGAGTACCGTGTACATTGTTAATTGCCAGCGACCGCTAATTGAAGTTGGTGCGCGCGCACCAACGCCAATACCCTACGGGGCTTCCCCGGTTGAAATTCAAACGTCTGACGAAACATGCGCGATACAAAGCTGATGTGACCTATTAACACGGAAGCGTGTGCACTCGTCTTCTCTATTATTTAGTACGTTGTGGTAACGCATACTTAGACTGTAAAGAAGCTTTAATCTGGACTCTCGGAGTACAAGAATCATTACCATTCCCAATCTCGGTTTTACGCGATCCTGCTATTTTCATTTAACGATACCCAGCCCCTGTATCGGTCCATCTGACTAGGCTAATGTACTCTTGAAGCCGCCAACAAGCAGACCCGTCGGTTTTATTCGTCCCCTTCCGGTTCTTCCGTTATCAAAAGCAAACGAGCTCCGGTAGCTAAAATTCCATCGGTCCCGTCATTATCCCGGCAGCTCGAATTCGCTCGGTAATCGCAGTAGATACGGGAGTAGGGGTACGAACCACCTAGAAATGATTAGCAACGGCCGTTAAGGCTCTCACGGTATTCATAAATCGGCGCGGTTTATCGCGGCGCCGGTCGCTCACTTTGTTCGGCCACCGGTATCCACCCCGTAACGGAGCCTTAATGAAGTCATAAAACGACGGGAAAGTACCCGCCATCCTACACCCCCTGTCCCGTCCCCGCCAGAATGGTTTTATAGTTCCGATCGTTGATCGTCCTAGGTGCAATATATTGGCCGCTTTCGAGCGGGGAATGCGAAACTCGACTGTAGAAGCATCCTGGAAATTTGATGAGGGCTCTAGAATTCGAGTGTCTGCGTCAGATTTGGTTAGGAGTGGGGGATTCCTTTTTACGGACTAATTTGGACCTGGTAATTGAAGCCGTGGTTCTTTGATCAGACGCACTGACCTGACAGGGCGTCTGTTCGAGATGGCAAGCTATAAACGATTTGCTAGCAAATGATTTGGGTCTTGGAGTGTTGGATGGCAACTCAATCGTTCAGGGACTAAACTACACTGGCCCGCAAAAAAAATAGGGACACTTTTTCAAACCGTCGTAACTATGGGAGTTTTCAACCGATTGAAATGAAACTGCGTGAGGAGTACTTTTGAAGTGTCCCCTAGATGCGGGTAAAGTTGCATTGGTTGATGAGAACGGGTTAATTCACCCCCTTAAAGGGGGGCGCGTCGAAAAACATCACTTCTGAAGGTGCCAGGAGTAATGGAAAGAGTTAAAAAACTTAAAAAAACCTTTAGGGCGACTCTCTTTGATGCCCTCTACAAAATGCACCCCTTGAAATCCCTCTCGGAAAAACTCACACCCCACAAAACCCCACCCCCTCTAAAATCCACAATTTTTGGACGACGGTCTCGATTTTGGACTCAGACCAGACCGGACTCCAATTTAACGTGGGCTGACCACGTACGGCTGCAGGCTCTCGCTCCACTTCTGAACGCCGGCTCCGTCCGGCCCACTTATTACTCTTTCAAATCTGCTCCGATTTGACAACGAAAGCGTGATTAAAAAAATCTGATTTTTTGGGGATCTGTTAATAAAGCATTCGCGCGTAACCCAGACCTACCGATGTTAAGCGTATGTGAGTCAGTGGGAGGTTCAGCTGTCAGTGAATATTTCGAATTGGTAGGCATAAATTCATAGCTGATCCAAGAGCCGCTGATTGATCCGAGGAAGTAGGTACTTGGAGACATGCTTGATGTCTTCTGACAACCGCCCTATTTGAATTTCTCATGTGATGAAGTATAACCATGTAATAGTCAATCATCAACGTCTGTTGCATCCCGTCCCCATAGTATCCGTCGAATTACTTTTGCCTTTTCCTCAATTATCCCGAGTGGAGTCAAACGATCATATGGTCGAATAGAAGGATGGTTTGAAGCTCCAAGACCAGTGCGGCTTGCTGAACCCTAGGGTCCTAATTTTTTTAGGAATGTGAAATACTAGGAACTCTAGTTTTTTAAGAATATAGAATACCAGGCGTATTTTACGTTTTTACGAAGGCGGAATGCAAGAGTCTCAAGCTTCTTAGGAGCATGGAGCTCGAATGACTCATGATATTTGAGGATCATTGAACGCAAAAGAGTCTCAATCATTTTAGGAGCCTAACATAACCAAAGTGCGACGCCCCGTCAGAAGAATGCATTAACGTCGATGCATCGCGCTCGGTTGATGTCCGTTGGCGCATGTCGGCGCATACATTATTAAAAACGCGAAGGAAAGATGTACTCAAAATTCAGCCCGCGCGCTGATAGTCTGATACCGATCCGACCGGTGGAGTTCTGTCTCCTGACGTCGGTGCGAGTGCCCCGATATCGGCCAGACAAAGATTGTCGCGATGCCTCTGCGTTTGGGATGCAAATAATGCGTATAAATATTTACACCCTTTCGGAGCGATGCGGAAGCCATGTTGGTATTCCTTTGACACCGAGAGACACCGATGTGTTTCTTCGAATCGGTCTCTGACACATCGGTGACCTATTTCCGAGCAGTTTATGGTCTTCCCGCTCCCCCGAATAAATTATACCAGGACTAGTGTTATATTATTGTCATTTTATATTAAATTTGGACAAAGACTATTGTCGAAAGGTGTATTGTGTTCTGGTATATTTGAAGATTAATTACATTAATTTATCATAATTACTGTAATACACTTGATCGACTGCGTCGATGGCTAAATAGACAACAGGCAAATTGAAAATAAATGCTCGATAATTTTCTTGTGCAACAGTAATCGAATATTGATTGTTCATACCACAGATAAATGAATGAATTAATTTGTGGTTACGTTTCGACTGAATCTCTTTTAGAATATGAAATATTAATTTTTCAAATATTCTAGATCAGAATTTTTCCTTCAAATATTTTTAAAATGTTTACTGTGGAGAAAGGCACGCGTTTTTGTCAAGTGTAGAGGCAGCTGGTTTGGAACATTCGCACCTCATTTGTCATTTTCCGTCACTTCCACGCGAAGAAATCCATATAACGACTGCAACGGCCGAACCGCGGCTTTCTTAATCGGGCCGAATGCACAGAACGATTGATCGAAAAGCGTTTCTCGGGATTTTATTTCATAAATCGCGGTTAACCGTCAACGGAAATTTCTTTTCGTCCAACATCTCGTAATAAGTTCGAGTCCTTCATCAGGCTGTCAACGTTCTACTAGGGACTCGGAATCGACAGAAATTTCTCCAATTACAAAAAAGCTACCCCACTCGTTCGCTAGTAAAACTTCATCTTCTCCAGTGCGTTCAACTTACATTAGTTTCCTGGAACTCTCGATCAATTCTCCGGGCGTTCGCGAATCCACATATTCCGGGGCAAGAATCTCCGGAAGAATGTCTCACTCTTCAGTCACTTCACTTGGAACACTTTCGGTAATCGAGAACTAAATTCCACAAAACTTGGCGAACTTCACTCTTGCATCGTCACCCCAACGTTCACTGATTTTGAAAATAATTTATATGAACGAGAAGAAGTCAAATTTGGTATCATTCCAAGAGTTTTAACGTGAAGTTATTCCTTTTCGGGGTTCCTGGTCCTCACATTTCTACTCAAGAGTTGAATCCAATTAAGAAGAATATTCGTATATTCTTACTGTGTTATTATGTATAATCATATTTTAACGAAATTAGTCAATGATAAGGAAGATTCATTAGCTAACGTTTCAGGCATAGTAATTAACACTCGTTATTTTTCAAAATAATTGTACATTTAAGTTTCTTCAAACTTCCAATAAGAAAATGTTTCCAGACGAAAAGTGTTTCCTTATTCATTGTGACATATCAAAGAGTCTGCAGAGCGAAGTGTCCTCGAAACACCCCTGTTTCTCATAAGCGAAGACACCCAAGGAAGACACCGAGAGTGCCGGGACCCACGGAAGCGAGGAATCAAAGCCTCGTAATTTTTCATGGTTGGCGAGACGCACATTCGCGATTTAAACGCGGCCGAGGCAATTTAATTAGGGCGCGTGCATGCCACCCCTGAAGGGTTGACGTGCGAGGCTCACCCTCGGACGCGAGCATCCCCGCACGTACAGAGACGTTGCTCTCCTCGAGACTGATACGGACCGACGGATCACGAGATTAAAAGTCCCTGGCAAGAAAGTTAGATTCATCGCGAGCTACCCCCTGGCGGCCACCCCCTCATCTCTGAGCTCGATCCTTTATTAAACTTGCTCGCTGTAGCTTGTACCCTCGGAGGTAAACGAGGTTCAAACGTTTTTGAAACGTGACTCTGCGCACTTTAAATTTAGATTGAACTACCGGTTTGCTGTGTCTCCGGCCGTAGAGAGTATTTCAGAGGTCTCCGATCCCCCCGTTTCTCTTTTTCGAGGCTAACCGACGGGCGAATGGTTTACGACGCTCGCGCCTGTCTCCCGAATCCTCTAATTTCTTCGTATGGATAGAGAAAGATCGTAATCCATGGTGCTTAACGATGTTTAAGTCCTGCGGGGGTCAATGTGACGTCTGCCGAGGCTATTCGTGGAGTGACTTTGAGTTTTAAGTAATTCAATATTGTTTAAGTTTCTAGGACCTTGTTATGTACTTAGGAGGGCGTATGGGATAATGACGTGTCTGTGATTCTGAGTAATTGGCGAATGATTGTCGAGAGTCACGCCCAGGGAAGTTCAAAGGGTTTTATTGGACGAGCCTTGGGAAGCCCTACATGATTTGACGTGATTTGATGTCTCATTCTGCTCAACTTTAACCAATCCTGAACAATCAACGCATATGTAAATCCAGAACATGCACTTTGTCTAGAAATAATCAAGGACGCCATTGGATTTACCTTCAGACTAGTCTGAACAATGTAGACACTAGCTCGCAATAGGTGCAACAAGTACAAATTCTAAATATACACTTCGTCTGAGAATTATCCGAGAACCGACAACCAATCGCGTTTGCTTCTACACTGATCTGATTAATTGAGGTGCTAATTCGAGATACACTCCATTCAGACGAAAACTGATGGATCCACTTTGTCTACAGTGCACCAAAGACTGAATAAGCAATTGCATTCGCCTTTACCGAAGTCTAGGTAAATAGACGTATTGATACATGTCTGTAACACGTGTAACGCATCAAAATACCGATAGAATCAGTTTGTCTATGTAGGATCAGAGTCGATGACCTGAAGTCTATTATAAACACCGAAGAAGCGATTCAAGCAAGGGTGTAATATGTATAACTCCCGGATATTTGCTTTCTCTATAACCCATCAAAAATTGAATAATTAATCTAACCTTAAATAACCAGAATATATAAAAGAACAGATAAAATCACTTTATCCACACAGTGTCAAGGTCTGCACGAGTAATATCGTTTACTTCCACAATGTTCTGAAGAATTTGTGTACATATCTAGGCAGCACATTATACGCAAATCTTCGTCAACAACCCTCCCATCAATCGCACCGTGAAAAAGAATTCCCTTCGACAAAGAATTCGTCCCACCACTCGCATGCCCCCTCAAAGCAACTAGTCAAAGACGTCCAAAACATCGAGGAGCCGCGTACCGGGTGATGGAATCCCGATCACCGGTCACAGGACCCTCCGTTCTCCATTCACCCCGCGCAGAGGAGGTTCTCCAGCATCGCGGAAAACACCTGGTAGCGATCTTCGGGGGGCAGGTAACGCCTTTGGAAGCGTCAGAGGTCCGCGCTAAAACTCTCACTACGCGACGACGTTCCACGAGCCACGGGAGACGCAGGAGGCTACGGAGCGCGAGGGACACGCACTCGGTCGCATTTATTTCCGTCGACGGAAACGTGACACCCGGTGGAAACGCTCGCCCAGCCACGCAGCCGTCGTTCTCATTGAAGAGTCGCCGGCAGACTGCGAGCCTCCAACGAGATGGGAGCAGTGGAGTCGCCGCGAGAGGCGGCAAGGCGAGCAGAGGGAGCAAGCGAGCGAGCAAGAGAGTCGCCGACGAGGGAGGAGGCTCGATTGAACCCACGACGAGGGGGATGGGGACGCGTGGGCGGTGTTGGATGGAGAGAATAGCTACGATGGGTCGCGGTGTAGACGGAGAGAAATGGATGGGGGAAAGGGACAGGGTTAGTAGCGATGGGAATTCGATTCCCTGTGTCACGAGTTTTCGAACGATTTGGTCGTACTGTAGCTTCAAGTCGCTACAAATTCGAAGCCACTTCTGGGTCTCGATCATCTGGATCAACCTGGGCTTATCTCTGATGATTTCAAGCGTCTTAAAGCTGGACCTTGTTGCTTTCCTTGGTGTTCTGAACTATTATCGAGGGGGAAGTATCTGGTAGAGTATGACTTTCTAGCTTTTACAAGAATTTTTTTAAGTCTTTACGGAAGAATGCAGAGTATTGAATGTCTGGGACTCTTTGATAGTCAGGGAGGACGGCTGGTGTGCATCTGCCAGGATTTGTCGTGATTGTTCAGACTAGAATAATTACAATAGATTATCAAGTCTTTGTCCACTTTGTGGATCCATCAGGATTTGTATGTATTACACCTGTCATAGGCATGTATCTAGGTGGTCTAGACTTTGCCAGAGGCAAATGCAATGAGTCACCGAATCGTTGATATGTCACAGACATAGTGTACTTTTAGGATTTATATGTATCGCAGCTAACCCAGGCATGTACCTAAATTGTTCAGGTAGTGTTAGAGGATTTATGGGGATTGTAGACAAAGCGGATCTTAAGGATTTGCGTGTATTGTACTAAGGGCTGTATCTAAATTGTTCAGAACTGACTGGAGGTACACACAATTGATCGCAAAGGCTTTCATACCGTGCAAATTTATGCTGTTATATCTACTTCAGCTTAGAAAATTATAATATCGTGTGTTAATTACTCAGATTTGACTAGAATCGAGTTGAGAGTAATACGTCATCAATTCTTTGGTACATTGTATTAGTTTATCATTGTTTATTACGTCTTAATTCGTTTTAATTTCTGGTTTTATTAGTTGAAGTGTTTGTTTTTACACACTCTAAGAGATTGGATAGGGTAGGATCGATCATTTGAGGGATACAAGAGACTGTTCCCATGAATGGGGGACTGCGTTCGTTACTGTGACTGTACGGAATCCGATCTATTTTTAGATGTATCTCGGGGAATGTTTCTAATGTATATCGCAGAGGCTCGGTGATGGCTATGATCAGTTTATTTCCGTTCATACTCTGAGTTAAATTCACCTTCTGAGCGTCTTTTATTTTCTACGAACAGTCGATAGCCATTATCAACAGGCAATAGTACTAGGTCTATTAGACCTTATCGTTGGACACCAGCCTAATCGAAGGGTCAGATAGCCGAATATAACGCTTGATTTACGATTTGAGCGAATTTCGTCTGCGGACCAATACGACTGGAAAACAACGCATCTCTGCGAAGATCTCAGACTCCTTAACCCACACTATTTTATTCTTCTATGTCTCGTGTAGACCTACTTTCTTCAATAAGAATAATAATTTACTCCAGAAACAACGTTCTTTTCATTTGTTTTTTAAGTTTCTAATTTTATGGATTTTAGACGTCTTGAGTCCGTTGCTAGCGAGAAACAAGGAGCAGGAAAAGGGAGACACGAAAAGGGGAAAAGAAATGTGACGTATAAACCGGACGCGACGAGGACGCATAGAAATAACATTTGTAGACGGAATGAGAGACTTGCGGAGGGTCTTCCCCCCATTTTCATCGTTTCTTTTCTGCAGTTTCACTCGCCCTTTAAGGGTGCTCTCTCCTTTGGAAAGTGATATAAAAAGGCTGCTTTAAAGTCTGTTTTTTTCTGTAAAAACTGTACCGTCGATCAAATTGAAACTGCGCAGGCTTATTTCTAACACTTTTAACAATATATAACAAAGTTTTTGGCAGATCAGAGTAGTATTTCGTTGCAATTTGCGGTAAAAGCGGATTCTACTCATTAATATGCGACCTCCTCCGCCACGATCAGGATGTATGTATCTGTTCTCTTTTGGGATTCACTGTTCACGGTCGTAAACATTGAATTTGCATTCGATTTAAAAACCAGATCCGTGGATGATTCGGAGAAGTCTACGAGACTTCATAAAGCAGTTCCATGATTTAATAGGGATCACGTAGCTAGAGTTCTCAGCGCTGAGCTCGCGGCGGTGGGCGTGCTTGGGCGTCCTGTCGTGTTCTTAAAACGTGACGGTATCCTGCAATTTTATGCTCGTAGCTAAACGTGTCTTAAAGGAACAGTCTGATAAGTCCAGGAAAAAAAATAATTTTTTTCTGCTATACTCTCTTAAACATTCGACCTGGCGTCCGCGTATGTTGTAAAAAGCACGATAAACCAAAAATTAAAAAGAATGGATATTGTGGTCCGATAGTCACAGTGGATTGCTCGATTTTTCGCTAACTGCTGAAAAATCGACTCGCGACGGGGCACTCGTATTCATGTTGAACGCGTTAAAGTAGTTTCCCCGCGGGAGGATGAAGTTATCGTGATAATTCGGCCGTGAGTATCTCGCGACTCGCGCTAGCGTGAACAGGAGTCGCTCTTTGAAAACGCGTCAAAGGGTGCTGAGGTTAGGGGAAACGATTCTGACGCTATGCACCGTGACGCTGTTTGCGTTCATTGTTGAGAACCCTCGACTACAATTGCGCACTCTGTCCTGGTGTACCCAGAAATTAAGTTTTGGGTTAACGTGGTTGGGAGATTAGAGGATTCCCGAGCTCCACTTGTACATATACGTAGTAAGAAAATAATTATATACAGGGTGTCCCAAAAGTCGGGGAGGAGCCGGAAAGGGGGGGTAGCTGAGACGATTCTGAACAACAATTTCCTTTGCAGAAATGTCGGATGGGTCTTCGTTAAGGAGATATTAAGAGAAAACCCCGACCAATCAGAGCGCGCGTAGACCGTTGGAGCGGCCGCGGTAGCGAAGGCTACGTGCTGGCGGCCGCGCTTGAACGCGAACAAGTGACTCGACGTGCATCGAAAGACATTGACGCTGCCGCCTAGCGCGTAGCCTTCGCTACCGCGGCCGCTCCAACGGTCTACACGCGCTCTGATTGGTCGGGGTTTTCTCTTAATATCTTCTTAACGAAGACCCATCCGACATTTCTGCAAAGGAATTTGTTGTTCAGAATCGTCTCAGCTACCCCCCTTTCCGGCTCCTCCCCGACTTTTGGGACACCCTGTATATGTTTATATTGCACGCAGATACATGTCAGTCGCAAAAGAGGATACTATCAATTGTGGAAGCACAAGTAGAGACTGTTTTCCCTGCTGCTCATATGTTTCCAGAATCGGTTGGAAAATGCAACTCAGCCCGAGGATACAACGCACTCAAATGTAATTTAACAAGTGGCGTCGCTCGCTGCATTTTCTAACCAAAATAGGATGTCTCCTGCTCGGCGAATTCGCCCCCGTTGTCCAATCAAGACCAAACTCCGCTGCAAACAAATACGTGGAATTAATGAAACAGCTCTCCACAAGGCAAACAGAGCCAGCAAGCTCGAAACGCGGGATTCTTCTTCCCCAGGAGCTCCGAAACCCCGACTCCGAGGAGACAGCCCGTGCACTAGGTCGATTTGGGTGGGGAAGGTTTTAAGAATCGCGCCCCAGACGCACTGACACGCGTCTGTGTTCGGCCCCGTCGTCGCGGCGCACACCAACGCCTCTCAAAGACAAGGACGCCACGCTGAGCCACAAGCTTCGAATTTTCCTGCGGGCCGGCTGAAAAGCTCGGCCGAGATTAGGTCAGCCGGCAATTTCCGCCCCAGTCTTTCAAACTGCAGCGTCTCCGACGCCCAGGTTAATATCAAATTTTCTGGATTTAAGCCCAAAGAAGATTCTACCCTCGAATAGAGGGAAGCAGGGAATACGGTGCTCTTAGAGGAGCAGACAGGTCTGGAGCTTGTTTGTTCTAATCCGTCATCCTGCGAAAATAATGCTCGATGGTACTAGCGGATTAATGCTCTGTGGTTTGGGACTCTTGTGCAGTATGTGTGGAATGTGGCCTATAAAAAGCATAGCACCGCTTTTAGTCTGATTACCAGGCTGGAAAATTCTTTGTCGTCTTCGAGGATGAATTATTTAATTACATATAAATAGAGTGATACAATTAGTACGTCAATTAGTACGTGCCTGTCGACAAAGCTTCCACACCAGGTAGATGGATAGACCGTGACGTAGGTTGCAATGAAATGATAGAGTGGTAACTTTGAGAATATCAATTCTCCAATTGTATCTTTACGACAAAACAATTCGAACTCAATTTTCTGAGGTCACGAGGATAACTTCACAGATTGCACCAAACAACGCAACTTTCCTTTCCACGTACTCTAGATGTATTTTCTGGAGTTAGTCCGTGTCCAACCGCAACGTATCAACAACTCCTGACACTTCCAACCCCCGAAGCTTCAACAACAATATTTCCGGTCTGTCGGATGGGTTTCATACAAAAGCGTCTCTCGATTCAGCGGAACGTGTTTATGACGCGTCGAACGGAGCATCGAGACGTGGGACAGCCGACGATTATGCAGGCGTCGTACGCGTCGATCCGTCGATATAAAACCGCGTTCACTTTATCCTCCGTCCCCCTTCGCCGCACTTCACCCTGGGACGTTGTCGTCGCGTACGTGACGCTTGGACAAAAAGTCGTGCGTCGTGCCTGCGAATTCCGTTGGACCGGAAGTACCGGACATCGGGTGAAATACGATTGCACTACGTCGAATGTATGGCGGGGTTGGGAAAGGAAGAGAGGCTGGAGGAAATCGTTGGTAAGAGGGGAACGACCGTAGGCAGAGTACGAACCCGTGAGTTGGGATAAAGGACAATGGTGGTACGTATCAACCGACCTTGAAGACAAAGGACGTACCCATCGGA